CAGGTGGAGCACATGAAACGAAGCGCAGCGTGCGAGCATCCGTCCGTCCGGATGTCCGGGCGCTAGCACTACCGTTAGGCGGGGGCAGAGAGGTACACAGCTCACACTAGACATACTCATAGCTCGTTGGACCCGATCCGTCCAAGGAAATCCTCATCCGACAATAACTCGCCTCGGGCTCGAGCCATGATTTTCGGTCCATGGTTCGGTCTAACCTGAAAAAATTCAAACTAAAATGAGAAAAATAAAAAAAAATAAGAAATATGGAATGCAAGTGTATCGGATCATATTTGAACCAAAATTTTTGACCCAATCATTTTTCTAGCCCGATCAGATGCGATGTTTGGAAAGGTCTGCCTCATGCAACGGTGGATTTTAATAATGCTATATTAGTAGTTTTCAACGGAAGCTTTTTTTGCAAAGAGCAATTTCCAAGTGTAAAATAAAGTGGTAGGATTGATCTGCATAGCAAATTACAAACGGAAATGATTTGCACCTGGGAAATAATAATGTACGTACTGCCAGACAAGATCTTTAACAATTTCGCATCTGATCACCGGAAATAGGAACGAACTGAGATAGTCGAGAACGGAAACGAAAAGGGATATGCGGAAAACGAAAAAAAAAACAAATACGAACGGACACATGAAACTTTAGTTAAGAGAACATATTGTTTGTGTAGAAATCTAATGTTCAAAGGTAGAACATGAAACTTAAGCTCAGAGAACATATTTTTTTTCTGTAAAGATCTAATGTTCAAAGGTTGCTACGATAATATGTATTTTTCACAAAAATGAAATGGGATGGAATAAACGAAGAATGGAACAAAAGATCGAGATTATCCCGTACGATTTCATCCCTAGACACGAGTCCACTACATCAGCATTTTTTTTTTTTTGAGCAGAGTAGCAGCTGTTGGCCCAGAAAGGATAGGCTAAGCTTTGTGCGTGGCCCATCATAATGTGGGCTGTTTGGGCTCGGAGGAATGAGCGCGCGCGCCCGATCCAGTTACCTGAGGTCATCACAGCTCATGCGCACCTCACCAGGCTCGCTTGCCACACGGAAACAGAGACCCTCTTGGCCTCTTGTCTCCCGCTCCGCCCTTGACGGCCCGCAGGCTCCCTCCCTCGCTGTCTCAGATCAGCCAAGTCCACCGAGGAGACGGCGACGCGTGCAATCGGCGTCCCGGATGCATGGCAGCCAAGCCAGCAACTAGTCGTAACTGTAACCCCTTTGACGCGGCAGGCCGGCAGCATGTTAATTTTGCAGTGACCTGTCCGCTCCGCCCGCCGCACGACGCTGAACGGCGCGAGGAGTTGCCAGCGACGACGGCCGCCCATTTCTTCCGGCCGAGAGCAGCGGCTGAGGCCGGAGAGGAGACTTTGCCGAGCGGGTCTTGGCAGGCATTCGCATCGCAGTACTACGTGATCGCGGCCGGTGGCGATATTGATGTGTCTTTGCTCTCCAACCAAGTGGTGGACGGACGCCGTTGATCGCCGAGATTTTTGGCTAACTAATGGCGTGATTAGGACCCTGCAAGGTTGCAAACGAATTAACCGCTGCTGAGTACTGAGTTGGACTGGCCAGTGCTAGCTGCTCCACTGAACGGCCGTTAACCTGTGCTCCGCTAGCTTTGCTCTTCGTTCGTTGCTTCTAGATTACTTTGTGGGTGAGCGGGTTATCTATCCCTTCATAAGATGACATCAGGATGGCGCCATCAGACGCTGAGATATGGTGAGCAGTATACGGCTTTTGAACTACTCATCATAGCCACTTTTTAAAAAAAAAATCCTAGCAGTGGGCCTAAACTTGAAAGCTTACCACGGATGTACTGTAATCGTCGATCCATCAGTGTCATTGTAAGTGTCAATAGCAGGGGTTATTCTGGCTGTCGATCGATCCTCCAGCAGCTCACGCAACGCCAACCGGAGTGAACACAAGCACTGGACTGAACACGGGCTGGAGCAATTCCGTTTCCATATCTCTTGAATGCAAAAAAGTCTACAGAGCGGTTGATTGGCTACCCATTATATAGCCATAGAAAGAAGCAACTCGGTCTTTGTTGTCTATACTCGACCTAGCTAGGAAAAGTTTCTGGAGTACAAGGTTGCTCTGTTTCAGACTTTCAGTGTTGCTTCTCTTTCTTCCTTTCAGCATTTCAGCAAAGGGTAGATGAAACGCACACCAGTAGATCCACCACTTCGCTTGGTCGTAAACGATCGTGGATTATAAGTCAGAACAGTATTTTTCTCTCACACTAAACCAGCCAGCAGTAATAATCCACGATCGTTTGAGCCGAAACGAACAGGCTGTTTATGCATGACGAAAACAAGAATTCTTTACGAAGATCTGGATGACGAAAAGGCATTGCTTTAGGACAAACGTGCCAAGAAGATAAAAAAGGTGCTGCTGGCAGTTTGGCATGCTGATGCATCATGCATTGGAGATATCCTGGGATATTTTCATCAGCTCGTCAAAAAAGAATGGCAGTCACACTTTCACTCCTAATCAGCCGGCCGCCCCAGGACCAAAACACTCCAAGCAACAGGTGGGAGCAGATCAGTTCAGGGTCGCCGTTTGCGATTGTTATCATTCCATCTGGTGGGAAAAGCGGGAAGCTTCAGTCTAAAAGCTGCCTTGCACGCTTGGATTATTATCACCACAGACACCACCGAAAAATCCCCGATTATTAGTCAATGCTTTACAGCCGTGGTCGATCTCCTTTCGGTTAGTGATGCAGTATTTCTTTTTACCGAAAAGAAATACAGTACCATGATCAACCAATGTTTTATTTTTGCGGTGTTTCTTATCAGATGGTTATCGATGCATTTTCTCTGGACAGAACAATGCTTTCTTATTGATGTATTTGTCAAACTATATTAACATTGATCAAGTTTATAACGAATAGTATTAACATTTCTGTCTTCAACTAGATTTTACTACGAAAATATATTACATAATTAATTTAATTATACTTATTTTCTCACAAAAAATTATACTTATTTTGTATTATAAATGATAATGTTTTTTATATAACTTTGGTCAAACTTTAAATGTTCGACTTCTTAAAAAATGAGAATTACATTCTTTTGTGGACGGAGAGAGTACCTTCTAAGTGGGTGTTTGGTTTCTCCTCCTAAATTTTAGTCGCTGTTCCATCGGATGTTTGATACATGCATGGAGTATTAAATATAGACTAATTACGAAACTAATTGCAGAACTTGCGACTAATTTGCGAGACGAATCTTTTAAGCATAATTAGTCCATGATTTGACAACATGGTGCTACACTAATATATGCTAATGATGGATTAATTAGGCTTAAAAATTCGTCACGTGGAGTACTAACGTATTATGTAATTTGTTTTTTTATTAGTATCTGAACAACCTATGCGACACCCTCATTTGACATCTCATAGATTTTAGTCACCAGATCCAAACGCCCCATAAATTTCTTTCCCACACAAGTAGGAACTCTAGCTGTGTGTCAAAAAGAAGTAGGAACTCTAGCTCGTTTGACTTGCAAAGCCAGGGTGCGCTGGATCATTATTTGCAACGAGCCAAGTGGAATGGAGTGAGTTAACGAGTTTTGAGTATTTCGTCTAACCCTATCTACGGCTAGATCGGTAGCTGCATGCATGGAGACCAAGTTGCATTTGACCATGTTAAATTTACGCCCATGGGCCATGGTTGTTCTTGCCGCAAAGGGGATGACACGCTGTGCACAGCTGCAGTTGCTGATAGGAAATTAGGTGTGGTGCTTAACTTGCACTCTGAGTGAGGAGCCCCCATGTGCATGCGTCAGAAGCGCTATGCATGGTTCTGGACTTCTGGCCTCGCGTCTGCGTTGAAGCTGAAAACTTTCAAAGCATTTTTCCTGTGCATACATGCTGAGCACGTGCTATCTCGACCGTCCAAACACCATATCAAGATATGTGCTATCCAAAACAGTAGTGTGAAGCATCGAGTAGAGCGAACAACACAAATTCTAAAAAGAGTTTTCAACGGTAAAGACACAGCATGCTGAGCATGTAAATGCTTCAATACATTTTTGGAAAACTTTCCTAATGTTTCTGAGGAGTGGGATGCATTCTTGAGCTAGCAGCTTCCATAACACAGTGGTCGACTCCCGGCTGCGGCTGGTCCGTCTGGGCGAGTGGCCATGTGGCGATAAGTGGAAGAGTCGTGCCCGTGGGAACAGCATGTCTCGCACGGGTCACTTGTGCAGCATCTCGCCCGTCACTCTCAAGTCCCGGCAGGTTGGCCGAGCATTAGGACGAGAGCATTACGAATAAATATATGAATCAAGTATGAAACAAGGCACATGTAAACACTATCGATCACGGATATTTCTTTAGACGTTGAGTACAAGTAACATCCACACACACACACACACACACACACACACACACACACACACATATATATATATATATATATATATATATATATATATATATATATATATATATATATATATATATATATATATATATATATATATATATATCCAAATTAAGTAGTACTCCCAGTTATTCGATATTATAGATGTCTGAGACTGTATATTTAATGTCTGAAAAATTGTTAATTAAGATATTACAAGAACATTTAATCGCTGTCCAATTCTCTTCGGACAGTTCGGTAGATATCTCTACCTGTATCTGGACGGCAGACGCACGAGTTAGCTGTCCGCTTGCTCGCGGCTTATGTAAGGCAACCGCAGACCCATCCCCAGCCCTGCTGGCTCTGCCTGTCCCCATTCACTTCACTCGCCTTCGCCAAGACCCAGGAGGGTCGAGAGTGGCAGGTCAAGAAGGGAAGAGCCAGCCAACCGAGGGATCAACGCTTCCATTTCTACATATACTTGTGGTCTGCGGACGGGCGGTCGTCGGTTAGAGCATTGCTTCGGTGTGGTGTGGTTGGTAGCTCGGCTCTTCTTGGCCGAGCGAGTTCGTCTTGGAGCAAGAGAGAGAGAGAGAGAGAGAGAGGGAGCCAGCAGCGATGGCGGGCGGCGGGATGGCGGCGCTGGGCGTGAAGACGGAGCGCGCGGCGCAGTACAAGGGCCGCATGACGCTGGCCGTCGCCATGACCTGCCTCGTCGCCGCCGTCGGGGGCGCCATCTTCGGCTACGACATCGGCATCTCCGGTACGTTCGCTTCCGCTCCCCGCTCCTCTCGTTTGCGTCCGCGCTGCGCTCATCTGCTTCCATAGTCCACACGACCACACCCCGTGCCGTGTCCGCTTAATTCTCATCCATGAGCGGGCAAACGAACAAGCCACCACTCGCCGATAGCTTGCGGCAGCCAGCCACACGTTTCGGTTTCAAGGCCGTGACGCCGGCGTGGCCCCGCTCGGATTTGGCCGCTCTAGTCCTGTCATGCCGCCCAGCGAGCCGCAGGCCCACAGCCAGCAGCTAGCGAGGTGTCCGTCGCGTTCCCGCACCAGTTTCGGCACGCACACATCACTGCTCACTGTATGACACATCACACACATGGAATCGGGCCTTTTGGAAAACTGGATGGATTTCGTGGTCAGGTTAGGACGACGATTGCTGGTGTAGTGGAGCTGAACTGAATCCATATCCATGCGTCTCGTCTCCACTGTAGTAGTAGAATTTTTGGTCAGGTTCGAGCGAGCAACGAAGCCTTCTGTGATTTCGAGGCACCGAGCACGACACGCGCGCGGACGCCACAAAAAGCTTGCAGTCAGAGCTGGCGGCGCGCCGGCTCCGCGTGTTCCGCTTCCGCGACTGACGTGCCGTTCCGCTCCATCTTTTCTTCTCCTTGTCTCCGACACATGGCTCATGTGGGCATCAAACTCAAAATAGATAGCAGAAGATCTAAAATCAACCTATAATAGAGTATATAAAACTCATCTCAAGTTGTCTGAGAGATATAACCTAAATATAGATATCTTTTCTCCTGAAAACCCATTTACGAAAAATTTTCTTTTAGATTCTGCTGTTTGGAGAAGATATCAAATGAGTATCGCATCTTTTAGCTATAGTGTTACTCAAATATTAAAATATTAAATGGTCTTATATTTTGGGTGGGTCGACGGAGATACAGCGCAGCGCAGAGGCGCAGTAGTAGTACGCGCTCTGTACCAGCACGCTCGATTCTGACTTCGATGAGCGATCGATTTCAGCTCGTGTTCATTGGACGCTCGGTACATCTCGTCTCGGTACTTTCAGGGCCAGATATTCTCGCCCCGGTACATCTCGTCTCGTCAGAAACGATGACCGGAACCGGACGTCGAGATCAACTAGTGGGCTCCACTTGCCACAGTACTCGTCAGACAATTTGCGCGACAGTATAGTTGCAGGTAATGCACGGCAGGGACCAGGAAAAAGATGCAGTAAAAACACTCACATATGACGATCAAATCTTTGGTTTGACAAAGTTTTTTATATCTGGGAGGGAGTGGACTAGTGGCTGCGGACCGTGGCCTATGCCGTCACGCGAAGAAAAAAAGGAGATGCAAGATTGATAGCACGTCGAGCAGTCTCTCAGTACCCGCTCTATTGTTGTAAAACTATTAAGAGTTAATATATTTTTCTTCCTCTAGCGGTCTTTAAATTTTTTTTTACCACCAATAAGCATGTTCGCTTAGTCGTATTTAGCTTATAAGCCATGGCTTATCAGCCAACAAATAATATTTTTCTCTCACATCAAATCAGCTAACAGTACTTTCAGCCATGACTTATAAGCCAAACCAGCCCAAACGATCAAGACGAATATTTCTCTCATATTCCCTCCAATAAAGTGAGAGTTGCATCTCCACCGATAGCAAGAGAACCATCCCAACCATCTTTGTTTCTACACACCTGTCGAGCCCATCTTTTATATGAGTATTGGGAAAGATATACGAGGTACTGCTGTACTCTCTCAATATTCATAAAAATAATACCAGTCTACCTACTACCAACATATTATGCTATCATTAGTGAAAGACAACAGCTAACTCTTACATGTCATTTCGCTGTCGCCTCATTACGTGGGCCCTAGGTATAAGTGATATTTTATTCTATGTCTTCCTTCCCTCTCCCCTTCTTTATGAGTAGGCCTACGAACGACCTCATATTCTAAGCGAGATAGGTATGGAGTGGAGATATAATTTTTTTCTCTTTTCTAACTTCTCTCTCGCACGTAAGCAAAATGTTGATCTGCATTCCTATGAACTAGCTGAAGTGTCACTATTCAAAACACCCTTAGGAATAAATTATTGGAAGACTAGTGGAGTGGAGATGCTCTAGGAAGTAGTAACTCCCTCAGTCCCTCATTAGTTCCATTCTAAAAAGATGCTGAGGGACAACAACTGCAGTTACTATGTGATTCTGGTTCAAACCCTATACTAGCTCTGAAAGGTGGTCATGTTAGTGACTGAGTGGTTGCATAGATTTGTAGTAGGCCAAACTATCCGGTTTGATTAAGTTTATATATAATATAAAAGTATCAATATTCATGAGTACTAAATAACTATTACTAAACGTAACATATTTGCCAAATAAGTATTAATCAATTTATTATATTTTCCATTACAAATATCAATAGTTTCCATGACAAATTGGTAAAATCTATAATAATCTCATTTATAATGACAGTTTTCTTCAAGTACGAAGAGATGATTATTTTATAGAAATATATATTGTATTCTCAAGTCAAACCAAAGTCACATGCAAAGACACGGTTGACACGGTGATAAGTACTAGTACTTTTTTTTTTCTTGACCACGCAAAATATTTGTGCGTCTTTGTATTAAGAGAGAAAAGTTAGATTACAACACGGGGATTACATAAAGGTTTACAATGAGTTCATGGTCTCCCCGACACCACACTAGCCTTAGCCTATTACTTGCTTGGCGCCGGCCTGCACCCATTGCTCGGCTTATGCTTGATGACGGCCATCAGTGTCTGGATCGGAGTGTTTGCTCCACGGAAGCATCTTGCATTCCTCTCTTTCCAAAGTTCCCAAGCGATCAAGGCAAAGAGGGAGTCTGAGCCGTTTCTGTGGCTTCCTGTCCACTGTGATCGCCAGATATCCCACCAGTCAAGGATGGAGTCGGTCGGCAAGAGCTGATTCCCCTCTCCAAGAGCCGTGCGCACTTCGAACCAAACTTGTCTTGAGAAGGAGCAGCTCACCACAATGTGTGATAGATAATCTACTGATTCCTTATGTGAACACACAGCAAGGAAAGGCGGCACCGAAAAGGCCCCCTGCTGTGGTACTATAGCCGCTGTAGAGGCAGGCGCCGAACAGCTCACCTGTCGCACTGTAGCCACATGTAGGGACAGCCGGTGTGCCTGCTCGACCTGAAGGTAGAGCAGCCGGTGTGCCTGGCGGTAAGGCACGCCGAGGAGCCATGGCTGTGGCATGCCCGGTTCGGACATCTCAGCTTCGACGCGCTTGGTCGGCTGGAAAGGATGGTCCGAGGGCTACCCCACATCAAGCATGGAGGCGAGCTGTGTGACAGCTGCCTGGCCGGAAAGCAGAGGAGGCTACCATTCCCAAAGACGGCCAAATATCGCACGAAGGGCGCTCTCGAGCTGGTCCACGGTGACCTCTGTGGGCCAATCACGCCAGCTACAAATGGTGGTCAGCGGTACTTACTCCTACTCGTGGATGATTGCAGTCGCTACATGTGGCTACAACTCCTAACAAGCTAGGACGAAGCGGAGGCGGTGATCAACAAGTTCAAGATGCGCGCGGAGGCCGAGAGCGGCAAGAAGCTCCGCGTGCTGAGGACTGATCGCGGCGGCGAATTCACTTCGATGGAGTTCGCTGCATACTACTCGGATCAGGGTGTGGTGCGACACCACACCGTGCCGTACTCGCCATAACAGAATAGCATGGTGGAGAGGTGGAACCAGACGGTGGTCGGCATGGCTCAATCCACGATGAAGGCCAAAGGCATGCCGGCAAGGTTCTGGGGTGAGGCGGTGACCACGGCGGTGTTCATCCTCAACCGTGCTCCGACCAAGGCCCTGACGGGCAAGACACCGTTCGAAGCTTGGTATGGGCGCAAGCTGAGCGTGTCCTTCCTCTGGACATTCGGCTACATTGGCTACGTCAGGAAGACGAAGCCGATCCTCACCAAGCTGGAGGACAAAAGCACACCGATGGTGTTCCTGGGCTACGCGGAGGGTACCAAGGCGTACCGGCTCTACGACCCACGCGGAGACAAGGTGCTTGTCTCGCGCGACGTCGTGTTCGACGAGAAGGCGGCTTAGGACTAGACCAGTCCGTGCACAGGCCACAGGGGAAGCTGGCGGCTTCACCAGCACCTTCGTCGTCGAGCACTTGGTCATCCACGGTGGTGGAGACGCTGGGGAAGAGGTGCTGAGCACTCCAGAAGGGGTGTCGAGCACTCCAGCGGTAGAGCCAAGCACTCCTGCGATAGAGCCGAGCACCTCGGGAGGGATGTCGAGCACTCCTAGAGGGATGCCGAGCACGCCAGGAGTGATATCGGGGAGGTTCTGCAGTGGTGGCGACCACTACAGGATGGGTGCCGAGCACTCCCGTAGCGGAGCCAAGAGGTCTTACGGTGGTGTCGACCACTCTAAGACTGAGGCTGAGCACTCCTAGAGTGGTGCCGAGCACTGCAAGAGTAGTGACGAGCTATCCAGAAGTAGTGCTGAGCACTACAATCAGGGTGCCGAGCAGTTCAGGTGCTGTGCTGAGCACTCCGGTGGAACAGGAAACTCCATCAACACTGATTGAGTTCACCTCACCTCCAAGTGACACCACTGAGTTTGTGGATGCCTTCCACGAAGGTGAGGAGGTGCGATTTCACAAGCTGGACGACATCGTCGGCGGCACAGGGCCCTCAGGACTGGTTGGTTGGCTGCTCAATGACCAAGAGCTGCTGCTCGTCAGTACAGAGGAACCACCCACGTTCGCGCTAGCGAGAGCGCGACGGAAACTGGCGACGGGCGATGCTGGAGGAAATGAAGGCGATAGAGGAAAACGAGACATGGCAGCTTGTCGATCCACCTCCAGGATGCCGTCCGATCAGCCTGAAGTGGGTGTACAAGGTCAACCGGGACGAGCTCGGCACCATTATCAAGCACAAGGCGCGTCTCGTCGCTCGAGGCTTTGTTCAGCGCGAGGGCATAGACTTCGAGGAGGTCTTTACGCCAGTAGCACGCATGGAGTCTATTCGTTTGCTACTGGCTTTGGCAGCAGCAAAGGACTGGCGTGTCCATCACTTGGACATTAAATCGGCCTTCCTCAACGGCGAGCTAGCGGAGACGGTCTTCATCAGGCAACCTCCAGGTTTCTCCATCAAGGGAGAGGAGCACAGGGTGCTCCGACTACGCAAGACGCTCTATGGGCTGCGGCAGGCCCCACGAGCATGGAACGCCAAGCTTGACGCCACGCTAGGCGAGCTTGGGTTCCATTAGTGCGCAACCGAGCACGTGCTCTACACGTGACGATAGGGGAAGGAGGAGCTCATCGTCGATGTGTATGTGGACGATTTGATCATCATCGGCGCGCGCACGGAGGACATCAATAGCTTCCAGCGCGAGATGGCGGCTCGTTTTCGAAAGAGCAATCTCGGCGCACTCTCCTACTACCTCGGCATCGACGTGAGACAGAGGAAGAAAGAACTCACGCTCGGTCAGAGCGCGCATGCCTCGAAGTTGTTGGAGCGGAGCGGCATGGCTGAGTGCAAGCCATGCGTGACTTCGATAGAAGAGCGACTGAAGCTGACAAAGGCCAGCACCGCAGCGAAGGTGGATGCAACACTCTACCGGAGCATCGTCTGTGGTCTGTGCTACCTAGTTCACGCGAGGCCGGACATTGCGTTCGTCGTGAGCTACGTCAGTCACTTCATGGAAGATCCCAGAGATGATCACTGGGCTGCGGTGAAGTAGTTACTGCGCTACGTCAAAGGGACGGTGGATCAGGGGATCATCTTTCCCAAGACCGGCGGAAGTAGGCTGCAGCTCACTGTGTTCAGCGATGCAGACATGGCGGGTGACATCGACGGACGACGGAGCACCTCAGGCGTGCTCGTCTTCCTCGGGTCGACTCCAATTTCATGGTCGTCGCCGAAATGTAAGGTGGTGGCGCCGCGTCACGCGGCGAGGCGAGTACGAAGCGGCAGCCACAATGGCGCGCCAAGTTGTGTGGGCTGCGCGCCAGCGGCTGGGCGAGCCGACCGGTGCAAAAGCTCACCCACCAAAGACCGATGGTGGACAACCACCCGCCATCGCCCTCGCGAAGAATCCGGTTCTGCATGACCGGAGCAAACACATCGACGTGAAGTTCCACTTCCTCAGGGACTGTGTCGATGGAGGACAGATCGCCATCGAGTTCGTCGAAACTGGTCATCAACTCGCGGACGTCCTCACCATACCGCTCGGACGTCTTTGACTCACGGAGCTGAAGGAGATGATCGGCATGGAGGAGGTACAATGGATAGCAGTAGAATTAGGGGAAGAATGATAGATAATCTACTGCTTACTGTTTCTTTGTGTGAACATACAGTAAGGGAAGGCGGCGCCGAAAAGACCCCATGTTATGGTACTATAGCTGTTGTAAAGGCAGGCGCCAAACGGCTCACCTGACGCACTGTAGCAACATGCAGAGATAAGCGCATAAGTCAGTTCTGCTATGTTATCTAGTCACTGTAGCAGTATGAGAGCTATATTAGAATTAGATGGATATAGTTGTATATATAGTTTGCTACTGCAACTCAACAAGGAGAGTTCAGATTTGCCATCTCCTATACAGGGCTTCGATCAACGCTGGTGCTTGTACTATGTGTGCATGCTCTGTTCTCCCTCTTTTTCTACCTCTAGCCATAGTATGTGTGGTCGGACAGCCTTGATTGTGCTCGGCCGTGGTCACCAAAACTGATAAGTGATCGACTCACCTGAGCCGGTGATCCTATGGGCTACCAATGTGGTCGATCGTCTCTGGCTCTTGGGCGCAAAGGAAGCATGTGTCGTGAGTGTCCAGCCCATGCCATCTTCTCCGATCAGCAGTCCAGTGCCTACGCCGAACTGCAAGCCACAGGAACATCTTTACTCTGAGTGGCGCCCAAGATTCCCAGATCCTGACGCAGCCTGGCACTGGGTGAGAGGCGGTGTGAAGCGCTTGATATGCCGACTGTACTGTGAATTTCCCGTCTGATGCCCATCTCCAAATGAGCTGATCGGGTGCATCGGTGAGCGTCGTTCCTTGGATGGCATTCCAGATGTTTAGGTAATCGGCGATGACCGGTACCGAGGTGCCTCCTCTAATCTGCCGTACCCAGTTTCTGTTGGTGAGCGCCTCAGCCACTGTCTGCTTCCTTGCGACACGAGCAGGGATGAGGTTGAAGAGTGTTGGTGCCATGGCTCTGATGGAGACTCCATTGATCCAGCTGTCCAGCCAAAACAAGGTGTCCCTGCCATTGCCGATGATTGAGTAGGTTGATGCGCGGAAGAATGCACGAGCTTCAACTGTCATCTTCAATGGTAGTTCCGTCCAAGCTCTCTCCCGATCGGTTTTTTGTAACCATAGCCACTTGGCTTCGAAAGCTGTTGCGGCTAACTGTAAGTCAGTGATGCCCAGCCCTCCATTCTCTTTGGGCCGAGTGCACGTCTTCCAAGCTACCGTGCACTTCCCCCTAACGGCGCCGTCTTTGCCAGCCCACAGGAATCTTCGACAGATGGAATCGCCCTGTTCGGCTTATCCTATATTCGGTTTGTCCGACTTCTTTTTTCAGCCGGAACAGTGTTTTTCTCTCACAACAATTCAGCCAGAATAGTGTTTTTCAACCAATCTCTTTTCTTGCCCATGGCGGTAAACCGTCAGCAATCATGCAGTAAACTGGGATTGCAGAGAGTACCGATTTGATCCAGATGAGCCTCCCGATTCTAGCCATCAGAGGCCCGTGGCAGGCCGGCAACCTTCTTGCCACTGCGTCCACTGTTCCTCAAATTTCCGCCTTTGGTACCTTGGAAGTACTCAGCGGTAATCCCAAGTAACGGATGGGGAAGGATGTGATCTGACAGCCTAGGACCTGCTGCAAGTCGTTGAGTACCTCCTCTGAGCCGTAAACGTTCGTGATAGAGCACTTGGCCATGTTGGTGCGCAGCCCAGATGTATCTCCAAAAATTTGGAGGATGTCTTTGATTGCAGCAGCTTCGTGCATATCCGGATGGGCGAACACAATGACATCATCAGCGTAGATGCTGCACTGGTACTTGACTCCTTCTCTGCTCATACCACGCAGAAGTCCTTGTTGCCGCGCCCAGGTATAAGTCCTATTACTGTATAACATCGCAACTACATTATCCTAAACTAAAGCTGACTTTGTTTAACAAATGACAACATGACCACTGGATATTATCTCCAACTAGTAGAGACCATCAGTGTTGAAAACACTTGAAAAAATTACTTCTATCCACTTGATATTATCTATTTAGAGCATCTCCAATAGTTCGCTCTTTTAACTGTTGGCCACTTGGCCTTTCAAAAAAAAAAAGTCCGGATGACCGGAACATCCCATCTCTCCTTGTGTCTCATGGCTAAAAATGTGTGAATGCGTTGATCTATGGTCAACTGTAACTGAAATGCTCGCATTTGCTCCATAGCGTATCCGCTCTACCCTCTTAACTGCAGTTCCGTGGAAGATTTGGAAGGATTGCAATTGGAACCCAAGAGTTATCAATGGAGCATGCATAACGGCGAGACCACAAAATGATTGTGGGGGTATATGTAGGCTGTAGCAGTGGCACTCAAGTTCTATTTGGATCCGTTACTTCTTAAGCACTTACTAGCAATTTCCATCTGGTTATTTATGATCTTCGAGTTTTAAACTTGATTATATTATTTATTGAAATATAGTCATAGTTTATAACAAGTATGAAGTTGTGAACCTAGTTTTCAAACAAATCTATGCAATAGATTTTCGTGTTTCCAAACTAAACATTTGAAAACTATTAACGATCAAAGTTTCAAATATTTGACTGAATTTTGGAGAACGCGTCAAGTATCTGTACCAGGGGGAGTAGCTATGCCATACTACATGCTTAAGAAACGCTTTACACGTCTACTGGTCATCAAACACAATGCTGCAGGAGAATTCCACGCGCTCGTTGTGCCACTAGTTGAGTTGATCGGGTGAACACTCTTTTAGTCGTGCCACTGTTACTGTTAGGATTTCAGAGGCCATGATCACAACAAATTGTACTGTGTTTGGACTTTTTAACTCTGTCTGATTGAAGTGCCAATGTTTCACAATGGATTATCTCCTGGTATGTTCTCCCGACCTGACTGACGGAATGCTGCAGGAGGCGTGACATCCATGGACCCATTTCTGGAGAAATTCTTCCCGGTGGTGTTCCACAGGAAGAACTCCGGCGGGAAGAACAACTACTGCAAGTACGACAACCAGGGGCTCGCGGCGTTCACCTCCTCGCTCTACCTCGCCGGCCTCGTGGCCTCCCTCGTCGCGTCCCCCGTGACGAGGAACTACGGCCGCAAAGCCAGCATCGTCTGCGGCGGCGTCAGCTTCCTCATCGGCGCGGCCCTCAACGTGGCGGCCGTGAACCTGGCCATGCTCATCCTCGGGCGCATCATGCTCGGCGTCGGCATCGGTTTCGGCAACCAGGCCGTGCCGCTGTACCTGTCGGAGATGGCGCCGGCGCACCTCCGCGGCGGGCTGAACATGATGTTCCAGCTCGCCACGACGCTGGGCATCTTCACGGCGAACCTGATCAACTACGGCACGCAGAACATCAAGCCGTGGGGGTGGCGGCTGTCGCTGGGCCTGGCGGCGGCGCCGGCGCTGCTGATGACGCTGGCCGGGCTCTTCCTCCCGGAGACGCCCAACAGCCTCATCGAGCGCGGGCACGTGGAGGAGGGCCGGCGCGTGCTGGAGCGCATCCGGGGCACCGCCGACGTGGACGCCGAGTTCACGGACATGGTGGAGGCGAGCGAGCTGGCCAACACCATCGAGCACCCGTTCCGGAACATCCTGGAGCCGCGCAACCGGCCGCAGCTGGTGATGGCCGTGTGCATGCCGGCGTTCCAGATCCTGACGGGCATCAACTCCATCCTCTTCTACGCGCCGGTCCTGTTCCAGAGCATGGGCTTCGGCGGGAACGCGTCCCTCTACTCCTCCGTGCTCACCGGCGCCGTGCTCTTCTCCTCGACGCTCATCTCCATCGGCACCGTCGACCGCCTCGGCCGCCGGAAGCTCCTCATCAGCGGCGGGATCCAGATGATCGTCTGCCAGGTGATCGACGGAATGGACTGATCGACTGAGTTTCTGACCGAGCTCTTCTTGGGACTAACGTACACTACTTGCAATGCATTGCATGGACGCGTGCGCGCAGGTGATCGTGGCGGTGATCCTGGGCGCCAAGTTCGGGGCGGACAAGCAGCTGTCGCGGAGCTACTCGATCGCGGTGGTGGTGGTGATCTGCCTGTTCGTGCTGGCGTTCGGGTGGTCGTGGGGCCCGCTGGGGTGGACGGTGCCGAGCGAGATCTTCCCGCTGGAGACGCGGTCGGCGGGGCAGAGCATCACGGTGGCCGTGAACCTGCTCTTCACCTTCGCCATCGCGCAGGCGTTCCTGTCGCTGCTGTGCGCCTTCAAGTTCGGCATCTTCCTCTTCTTCGCCGGGTGGATCACCGTCATGACCGTCTTCGTCTGCGTCTTCCTGCCGGAGACCAAGGGCGTGCCCATCGAGGAGATGGTGCTGCTCTGGCGGAAGCACTGGTTCTGGAAGAAGGTCATGCCGGCGGACATGCCGCTCGAGGATGGCTGGGGCGCGGCTGAGGGTAACAATCACAAGTAAAGACTGAAGTGAAGCATGCGTGGCTGCGTGCTTGGTTTCCTGGACATTATTACAGTATAACTAAAGAAAACGAGGCACACACTGACATCTAGGCGGATGCTTATTCTTATTGTAATCTGTATGTAAGCAGGCTGTGTTATATGCGAACGAGACGTTCGGTTGTGCGTGCTTGTTCAGCCTTGATGCGATTTTCTATTTTCGAAATCGAAATGAAAGAAAAACAAAAACGCTTATTCATTCGCAAAACAGAACAGAGCAGGAATTTCATGGATTACAATGGTGACTCCAATACTCCATTTCAGGATTATCCTAAAGATGTTCAAATCTGGAGCTTGAATGCTTGATCCTAAATATGTTCAGATCTACAAACTTCAAAGCGATACCGCATAAACAATAACAATCATACTACGTACAATTTTGATGATGACAAAACAAAAGGAATGGAGCCCGTGAGTGTGATGAACTACGGGAACCACAGATACAATACAGCCTCCAGGTTCAGTAGTCCGCTGTGAGTGTGAACTCCGCTGTACCCTGTACGACGCATGCTTGGGAGTCTGGTCGTGCTGTGAGCCTGTGACTACTACTGCTACGACTCAGAGTGTCTCCAACAGCTCATGCAAAGGACGACACAAACCCAAAATCAACATGCACAGTGTTTTAGATGAATAAAACCGGCTCCAACGGAAGACGTAAACGCAGGATGCATTTTGGGTACGAGGCCAACCGGGACGCTTATTTGCGTCGTCTTTCTCCAAGACGCAAAGTCTTCCGCGGCAGGAGCAGCGCGGGCAACTGCTGCTCGGCCTGGAGCCAATCAGCGCTGGGCGCTGCTGGTGTGCTCGGCTAAGAGCCAAATCAACTAGCACACGACGAACAGAGAGCTCGCACGCGAAGAACAGAAAAGGAGCGGCCAAGAAAATCGATGAAATCCGACTCAAATCTTCATGGATCGCTCCCAAACTTTGCACAGCGATTCGCAATGAAGATAAAAAGCTACACCTAGAAGATCATTGCTCAATTTTAACTGTAACTCTGTAAATCGAAGAAATTCGAGCAAGAACGAGTTTTTCCCCCAAAATAAAGATAGGCGTGGATCTTAATGCACGAGTGGAATTGATTCAAACCACTTGGTAGGATTGTTCAACACTCGTCAAAGCATCAATATGACTAAACAAATCTCACAGCAAAACTCAAATCGAGCACGAATCAAGAAGGGGGAAAGAAACGGGAACGAAGAACACAGTGAAGAACAAAATCATAGAGTGACGAATCCCGGAGGACACGAGAGGATTCGGGTCTCCATTCCTACACCAAATCACAGCAGAGAGAGAGAGGGAGGAAGGAGGCGGAGGGGGAGGGGGCCACCAGCGTGCCACCCGCGAGGGCGGCGGACTCGTCGGAGATTGGGATGGCGGCGATGAAGTCAGGGCTCGCGTGGAGTATGTGTAGGCTGTTGGAAAAGGGGAGTTTTGGGTCACGTATCCATTTGTTGTACGCTACCTAATCCACCGAATGCGTCTTGGATATGGGTTCGGACTGTTAGGAGACAGTCTCATCTACCGGCTTGGCCTCCACGAACCTCATGCCGCCGCAGCCGTGGGCGCCGTCGCTCGGTCGTTGTCAAGCGCATGGACACGGATCCGAGCAGCCCTACCACGGGGCTTTAGCAAGAGCACCGGGATGGGCAGCGCGCGGGGATCAGGGGCGACCGCGGCGAACGACGCACCCGAGTACGCCTGCTCGGCCACCTCCTCCTTCGCCAGCGGGAGCATTTGGTGCGCGGCTGGCGCGGGTTCTGACTTCATGGCGTCGGCACCGCGGTGCTCCACAGCCTCGGCCTCCTTCTCACGCGTGTCGGGACCACGCTGGTCCACTATCGGTACCGGCACGGCGGTCTCCGCCTGCACGCCGCTCTAGCCCGCGCCCGCCTCAGGTTCGTTCTCCTCCGTCGTTGTCTCCACGCCGCTCTGGTTTGTGGCCACCATGGATTCTTCCTCCGTCTCTGTCCCCATGTTGTCCGTGGCCACCGCATTGCTATGCTTCGCGGCCGCCACACCCGCATCCTTCCCCGCCAGCGTAGTCTCGGCCTTCTCCGCCACCGCCTTCGCAACGCTCGGCGCCGCGGCCGAGGCTATCGCCGCCAGCGGCGCCGTGGCCATATCCATCAGGACCTGGCCCTTGCGCAAGATCACGACGTACTCCATGACGCGCTTGTGCGGTGGCGAGCTGGCCCCGGCCCCGCTAGCCCCAGCCGCCGGGGGAGACCGGTGTTAGTCTCAGATCAACGGCGAACGCCGACGGCGAGGACACAATGCTAGAGACGGAGAAGACATGACTCAACAACAAACACAACGCACACGAACACTTGATTTTGGTGCTGCCTAAAAGGGCAGCATTTTCTATAGTTCTATTTGTCTTTTATTGGAATAAAGAACAGAGCTATGCTCGTCATAGCGCGCACGACGCGAGAAGTGTGCGCGTCCATCCCCATGCACCGCGTTCGTCGGCCATGGCTACATGCCCAGGTGCGTGGCTGAGCGATTCTCATGCCACGACCTCCTACGCGCGCGGCCGCAATAGCCTAGGGCTCACGCGCATGCAACTGGCTAAAACAGAAAGATGCCATGCAATTTTAACTAACAGGCACACATAAGATTACTAACAAAATCTCCTCCTAATTCTTGTGTATGCCCTGTACATCAATGGCTCCCATCCTGGAACGCAAGTCATAGAATTGCTCACGTCCTAGGGCTTTGGTCAGTATGTCCGCCAGCTGCTCTAATGTCCCAATGGACTGCAGTTGCACCCTATTCTCCTCAACACACTCAAGAATGTAATGATAGCGAATATCAATGTGCTTACTGCAGTCGTGGAAGACGGGGTTCTTGCTGAGCGCGATGGCGGACTGGTTGTCGATCTTCAAGTTGATGGCACCGGTCTTCTCCCCTTTGAGCTCTGCAAGAAGACACGCCAACCATACTCCCTGGCAGGCTGCAGTAGCTGCAGCAATGTACTCTGCTTCACAGGAGGACAGTGCCACAACCCTATTTTTCTGTGATTGCCAGGTGATGACATTGCTGCCCAGGAAGAAGAGGACGCCGGTGGTGCTTTTACGTGTATCAATGTCACTAGCTAGATCGTTGTCGCTGTAGCCAGTGAGCTAGGCCTCCTTCTTCCTTTTGTAGTGGCAGCCAAAGTGCAAGGTACCAGCAACATACCTCAGCACTCTCTTCATGGCTGCAAAGTGCTCGATGGTGGGTTTCTCCATGAACCTGCTGATGTAGCCCACCGAGTACGCCAAATCCGGTCTCGAATTCACCAGATAGCGCAGGGACCCCACGATGTTGCGATAAGATGTTGGATCAACAGCAGGTGCAGTACTCAACTTACTAAGTTTTAGTCGAGCCTCCATAGGGGTGTGGCTCGGATTGCATCCGGTTAGGCCTGCGTTCTCTAGAATCTTGGCCGCATAGGCGCTCTGGCTGATGGTGATCCCGACCTTAGTCTGTGATACCTCCAGACCGAGGTAGTAGTGGAGCAGCCCCAGGTCAATCATCTTGAACGTCGCCTGCATCTTTGCCTTTAATGTGTCGAGGTCGACGTTGTTGGCGCCCGTGATCACCAGATCATCGACGTACACGCCCACGACAAGGCGCCAATCACCTTTGCCTCACAGGTAGACGGCGTGTTCAGAGGCGCTCCTTTGGAAGCTAAGTTTAAGCAACGACTCATCGAGCTTGGAGTACCAAGCGCATGGGGCTTGACGTAGACCTTGTGCTCGTGCCCTCGGAGAATGAAACCGGGGGGGCTGCTCGACGGAGACTTGCTCCTAGAGAACGCCGTTTAGGAACGCGTACTTGACATCCATGTGGTGCACTGCCCAGCCTTCGAAGGCAGCGTGGGCGAGTAGCAACCTCACAGACTCGAGTCGTGCCACCGAAGCGAAGACCTTGTTGAAGTCGATCCCTTGTTGCTTCACGGATCCCTCTACAACGAGCCGGGCTTTGTGCTTGGTGATGACCTTGGCTGCGTCCTTCTTGGTCTTATCGACCCACTTGAGGCCGGTTGGCCTCGTGTTTGGCGGCATCTCGACTAGCTCCCAAGTGTCGCTTGCCTCGATGGACGTCATCTCGTCCAGCATCACATGGCGCCAGCACTCGTGGTGCAGCGCCTCCTCGAACAACGTCGGTTCAACGTTGCTCGCCAACAACAGTCGCTCCTCCAGGTCCCGTTCAGTAAGCCCGAGCGGCATAGCCTGCCTAAGCACGTTGTTGACATGGCAGAACCAGAGAGGCACATTGTCGTCATTGTCGTTGTCCAGCTGCTCGCTAAATCCAGCACTTGGTGGTGAGGCGAACTCGATGCCTTGGTGCGGCTGTGGGCTCGGTGTCATGGACGCAGAGCCGGCTGCAGGTGAGCTCCCCATGGACCATGTCATGACCGATGGCAGCGAGGATGTTGATGACACTGGTGTGGATGAGCTCGATGCAGAAGGCGATGCCGGTGTACGCGTCATTGTTGTACTGGTGGCGCTGATCACCGCGGGCTCCACTGGTGTAGGTTGCTCGACGACGAAGTCTATGGGCTCGCCGTCGTGCTCAGCGGATCATGTCCACTGCGCAGCCTCATCGAAGATGACATAGCGGCTGATGTGGACGCGCCGGGTCATGGGGTCATAGACGCGATATGCCTTGGAGCCTGGCTCATACCCGACGAAGATCATGCGGCGGCTGCGGTCATCCAGCTTCTTTAGGTTCGGCGTGGTCACCTTGACGTGGGCGACGCACCCGAACATGCAGAGGTGATATACCTCCGGCGTGCTCCCGGTCCATAGCTCGTATGACGTCTTTCCACCGATGCTCTTTGATGACGACCGGTTCAGCAGGCACACGGCCATCGTCACAGCTTCTCCCCAGAACACGCCTGGAAGAGCTTTTGCCTTCAGCATGCTCCGCGCCATGCCCATGACGGTTTGGTTGCGCCGCTCCATGACGCCGTTTTGCTGGGGTGTGTACGGCGCCGTGAGCTCACGTCGAACATCGAGTTGGGCGTAGTACTCGACGAAGTCTGCCGCAGCGACCTCTCCTCCACGATCTGTGCGGAGGGCCAGCATCTTCTTGCCCGACTTGCGCTCTGCTGCCGCCTAGATGCGCTTGATTGCTGTCGTGGTGGCATCCTTGGAAGGCAGCAAAGAGATCCACATGTACCGAGAAAAATCATCAATGAGCAGGAGAAAATACCGGTTGCCACTGGGAGTTGCCAACGAGATTGGACCACACAAGTCTCCGTGTAGCAGTTGGAGCACCTCTGATGAGCGTTCCTGTGCACATTGGCGTTGAGGAAAGGGGGCTCGCCGGTGCTTGCTGTCGGTGTTTCGAGTTACCACCAATGAGTAAATTTCTAGTATTGCGTGTCTGGCTCGGATGGTATGCTTAGAGGACACGAGGTTTATACTGGTTCGGGCAGAATGTCCCTACGTCCAGTTCGTTGTTGTTGCTTGTGTTACTAGCACTAAAAAGTTTATAGCAGGGCTTACAAATAGGTGAGAGAGGGACAGATCCCAAGTCTCTAATGGAAGGAATGAACGGGTGCCGAGAGCTTGGTTGCTGCTCAGCCGTGTGCTTGTGTTGTGTTTTGATCGGTTCGAGGTTCGATGGGTTCATGATGGTTCGATTAGGTCTAGCCTAAATCGATCCCCTTCATGGGGTGCCCTGCTTTCCCTTTTATATGCCAAGGGAAAGCACTGGTTATAGCGGAGGAAAGGAGAAGAACAAGAGGGAGAGGAAGTTCTTTTAGGACTGTTGGGTCCTTATCCTTCATGCGGGTCCCGCCGACCCTATAAATGTCAATAGGGACGGCTCCACGTCATGGCCCTATCCATCACTAGCGCCATGCGCAGGCTTCGTCTGACGGTCATGGCGCTCCACTCCGTCCTAGCGGACATTGCGGTGAACTAACGCTCCTATCAGTATTCGTATGAGGGTTAGGCAGAACAGCACCGGTACGCCCGACACTGTTCCTAATGTGAATCCTCGGGTATAGCCCATCGTGGCCGTGGGTTATATCGGGGTGTGCCGGTCTCTTCCCTGGTGTTAGAGTTTTGACCCAGGGCCATATGCCTGGACCTGGAGTGGTTGGCGGCAGTATGGAACCCCATCGGGTGAGACGGAGCCCACACCCGAGGGGTCGGGTGAGGCGAAGTCCATGACCTTGGGGTCGGGCTAGGCGGAGCCCGCGGCCTCGGGGTCAGGCGAGATGGAGCCCACGGCTTTGGTGTCGGGCAAGGCGGAGCCCGACCCCAGAGGTCGGGCGAGACAGAGCCTGCCCCTAGAGGTCGAGCAAGGCGGCGCCCGCAACCTTGGGGTCGGGCAAGGCAAAACCCGCGGCCTCGGTCAGGCAAGGCGGAGGCTAGCCTCAGGGTTAGGCAAGGTGGATCCCACGGCCTCGGTGACGGGCAAGGCGGAGCCCGCCCCTAGAGGTCGGGCGAGGTGGAGCCCGCAACCTTGGGGTCAGGCGAGGCAGAACCTGCGGCCTCGGGGTCGGGCGAGGCGGAGCCTGCGGCCTCGGTGTCAGGTGAGGCGGAGCCCGCCCCCAGACGTCGGGCAAGGCGGAGCCCGTGGCCTCAATGTTGGGCGAGGTGAAGCCCGCCCCCATGGGCTCCCCAGAGGTCAATCAAGGTGGAGCCCACGTGAACCTAGGGGCTAGTTGGAGCCATAGTCATGCTCTTAACTGCTCGGATGAACTAATGTTGATGACCATTAGCCCCTCCTCTTCGGGTACCCTAGTATTGGTCCCCGACAGTAGCCCCCGAGCCTGTGGAGGAGTAGAATACTCCTTCGGAGGCTTTTTGAGCTGTAGGCCTTCTTTTGTCGCCCACGGCGTGACCTGGGGACGGTGATTCCCTTTCGTCGAGATTAGACCCCTCGGGGGTATAGCCGTGAGATTTTGGTGGGTCGGAAAAGGTCTTTCTTGATTTTGACCCCTACGGGGGTCTATCGTTCTGCGACCGTGTGCTCAGCCTTTGTGCGAGTCCAACTTTCCTCGAGCCCCCCACCAATAGCCGGGGTCCGATCGAGGATCGGCTCATCTTCGCGATTGTCTTCCCTCAAGTGTTTTTTTGATAAAAAATGGAGGGGCCCAACCGTGTCATGATTTTCCTCTATAGATGAATCATGGTGCTCGGTGAGCTATTAACGGGCTAGTC